ATTTGAACTCACAGTCTGGAAAGAGGACTGGGAACTTGATACCCTGTAACTAAGTTGGTGCAATGGCCTAAAAGAGCCAGTGCCACTCAATCTGAGAAGTCATCTTACTAGGGTTGGGTTATTAATCAAGCAAGGCTCACCTTTATTGTCTTGATCACACTACCATTCAGATCACAGACTTCTTTCAGGAAAGAACAAATTCTGTGGATAGCATCACTGTCATTCTCTTGAAACTCCTTGCTGGGGTGGAGGTTCCTAGCAATATATCCATCAAGTTTTTTAGAGGGGGTGGAATACAGCTCCATTGTCTCCTTCAAGCAGTCCACTTGTTCTACACTGAAATGAGCCACCCAACTCTATCTTACTGAACCCCCCTCTCTCTCTGATGTCACCACACAAGCTCTTAAGGTGGACTAGACGGTGAACAGTCAGATTTCTCAGACATGTACTTTTAAATAACATATATAAAAGCTGAATTGGAATAAAAACAGTTGAAATGAAATCATATTCAATATTGTGAAATTACTGCATGGAAAACAGTAAGACAGTATTTTGTATCTGAGTAAAACAAAATAGATATTTGTTTATGTTGTAAAAACTTCCACCTTTCATGGAAACTATTGTAAAAGTACTGGAATACATTTAACATAATAAAATGTGCAGAATAAATGTGCAGATCTACTAATCGAAGATCTCTAACTCTAAATATATACTTTTTTTGGGGGGGGTTCCTAAAAGTATTTTCATAGACTACCTTAAAAGTTAGAGGGTGGACACAATTTCGGGATGTAGATGTTTCCCTTTTTTCGGGAACGAAACTGAAATGTAGGAAACGAAAGTGATGAGCGAAGGGGTGAGTGGCGGGGAATACTGCACCCCCCTCGCTCTCTGATGTCACCACACAAGCTCTTAAGGTGGACTAGACGGTGAACAGTCAGATTTCTCAGACATGTACTTTTAAATAACGTATATAAAAGCTGAATTGGAATAAAAACAATTGAAATGAAATCATATTCAATATTGTGAAATTACTGCATGGACGAGGGTTGGCGTAACACTCAAAATAACTGTTGGGCATAGCGTCTTTGGAGACGCAACCTCTCGCTTTAGATCCCAGGATATCCAGTTCAAAGAGCGGCTGTCAGATTTCCCACATGTACCCCGCATTCAGGTGCTAGGACTACCGCTCCCATCCTCCCCACCCCAAAACGGTCAGAGGGGGAAAGGCTGAAGGACCAGGGATCTCAAAAGAAAAAGAAAAATATCTTGATAACGGAGGGCNAGGGCCGAGCAAACTGGTGAACGTCGCCAGCATTCTCGGGGCCAGTGACCCTGCCGCGATTAGGGACGCTTCCTGTGCCTGAAACCAAGTCAGGTTCCGCAGAAGAAGCGGGACAACTCCGAGCGGATCGCAGCGCCCCGCCCGATTCAAGGAAAGGAACTTGCTCAGCCTCGCCTCTGCAGTCGGATCGTCGCCAGGGCAACTTTTAGCAGCTGAGAATCTGCTGGATCCGCCGGTTCCCATTTGCGCCATGATGTGCTGTAACAAGAGCGGCAGCCGTGCGCCCTTCCCTTCCCATGGGTGTATCTTTCATTTTAGAAATTAGATGCCCCTGGCCGGGGGTAGGCAACCTTGGCTCTTTTATGACTCGTGGACTTCAACTCCCAGAATTCCTGAGCCAGCATGGCTCAGCTTGGAAACCTCTCCCTTTCCCCTCAGCATGGCTGGCTCAGGAATTCTGGGAGTTGAAGTCCACGAGTCATAAAAGAGCCAAGGTTGCCTACCCCTGCCCCTGGCTGACTCTTGGATTGAATCAAAGCCTGAGATCCGTTCCGCAGCAAAGGCGTGGAGAAGAAAGGCTTCGAGTCTCACCCCGGGCTAACTGAAAGTCTTAATTCCTTATATCTGGCTCCAGCAGTGCCTTCGCCTATTTTTGAGTTGTCTCTTGGACAAAACGTACCATGCAATAAATGTGAGGCTGAACCCTGTGGGTGAGGTTGCAATGTGACTACACAAAAGAGCTTAGCATTCCAAAACAACATGTAGGTCAGACAACTCTTTCCCCTAACATAGTTTCCTGGGCAAAATCGGTGTCACTCTCCTTCCTTCCATTTCATTTGTAAAAGTTGACCAGATGGGTCACTGGAATTCTCTACCCATGACAGACTATGTGAGTACTTATCACACACCCCTTCATCTTGGCTGACACTTCCTTTTTTGCTCCCTGGTCCAGTTTCCATTGCCGGGTGAGGTCACCACGTTCGTCCTGGTGCCAGGATCTGACCTCAGTATTTAGAGTTGGGTCCAAAGACATTTCAAAATCCCTCCCAAATTATAGTCCTGGGGAAGGAGAATTCCCCCCCCCAATAATATCTTAAGGGCAACAGGGGCAATGGCATTGTAAGCCTCCTGGGACATCTTTTCTTACAATTTAGTTGAAGTATAAAAAGCCACCAGGATTGCAGAAGTTAAAAGAGATCACGGTTGTATAAAAACACAACAGGACGTTCAAAAACAAGTTTTGGACATTTAAAAAAAAAAATCTATCCAGAATTTTTTCAAAATACTTTTTCCCTTTAAAAAGATGAAATTACAACTAATTTTATAAAGTTGAACAAGAACTGGTAGAAAAAAGTCAGCACTCAGATGGCATTTTGAAATGGACAGTGGTTAAACTTTTTTTCTGGAGCACTATTCCAGAAACTCAGTTTTTTCTTGCTAAGGCCACAAGGACTTCAACAGTGTTGAAACAGGTTTATTTTTCTTTCCTTCTGTCTCTTCATCCATCTTCACAATCACCTTAGTCACTAATGTAACTCTTCTAGGGTTATAGTTCTTCAGAATCCGAGACTAGCATTTTTTGAAAAGATGATCCAGGAGCCATGAGGACTAAAGGAGATATTTTCCCAAATCACTTAGAAAATGGTATTTCTGAGTTGTGTTTGACATTAGCAGTAAAGAACTGCAGTTACATAGTATTATCATTTAATACAACTAAGAATTCTTGGAATCATTTCTATTTTCAAAACACATTTAAGTCATATTTGCAGTTTGTGTCTCATCATTTAAAGCATTATTAAAATGCTTTATTTCATTGTAAAACAACAACTTTAAAAATTAGAAACCGTGTAAGGGAAAAAGAGAAAACACAGCACAGCAATTTGTGGAATATAAGAGATTTGTTCCAACTTCCAAACACTTTATGTACAATATAGGTGAGTGGAAATGCTTTGAGACATAGCAGCAGAAGTCTCTCAAAAGAAATGAAAGGCAAAATAAATAATTATAAAAAGTCCTTTTACTGTCTCTGGACTCATCAAAGCTTAGATGGCCTGATCATTTCAAATTATTCTCACTTATGGGACAATTTAGGGGCAGCTCACACACCCAAGAATGTAAAATTGAGAAACTGGATTTAGGAATTTGCATTTCAATGTTACACATCTACAATACAGATTTAATGCCTTCTTAACTAGGTCTGTTGTATCTCCAATTACAGCCCAATCAAAGCATTGTGCCACACTCACTCAATCCCCACACTGTCCTTGGAATTGTCAATTCCAGTCTCATATAGATTAGGTAGGGATAGCTACAACCTTTGCTGGTATACATGAGAGAAACTGCTTATATCCCCCCCCCCAATTTATTGTCCACCCAATTCCAGTGTGCTTGGAGTATTCCAGACATGGCCCTCAGATCTCAGCCCAATCCAGCTTGCCATCACTTTCACATGTCCCTGCATCTTAAAATTTGCTTTTGTACAGGATAACAAACAAAAAAATGATCAGGGCTTTTTTTTTTAAAGGCAGATTATTCCATGTAAGCAATAGGCTGAGAATGGTGTGAACTTTCTGAGTGCCACACAAATTGCTCCAAAACAGGCTTGAAAATGAGCCTTTTTTCAGAATTACAGTTGAGCTTTGATGGTTAGCAGCTCCCATCCCTAACCAGATTTACCTAGGAATCTAATGTTGGTGGAAGATAATCTGTCTAGCAGGAAGAGTGGGAGACATACTGTACAATTCAAAGCAGGGCAGCTGGTTTTCTGCACAAACCAATATGATCAATATCAGTTCCTAATCAAGGTCCAATATCTGCAGGTTTTCCAGAACAAGATGGTGTCCTCCTAACTGTGTCTCACAGCAACAATCTCCTTTGGGCTGCTCTTTCTCTAGAAAGGGTCTCAGGCTAGTGTAAAATCCTCTGGGGCCTTGACTGAATACAGAAGAGAGAGGGCAATTTCTGCTATTTGGTTCCTTTGCTTTTGATCTCCATCACAACAACTTGAAACATCTTCTCATACAAGCTGATGCCCAGGAAATCTCAAGTCACAAATGAACTCTAAGTCCTTTGGGCAAGAACGGCCCTCTTCGTTCCATCAGAGGCTAAATCTTGATGGCCACCCAAGGATGGACTACATTCATCAGTCAACAGTCTGTTAATAAATACATCAGTGGTTGTGTTGTTTTTCTGGAGGCAGAGCACACAGTGGCTACTTAAGCACAGTTAATGCTTGGGTAAGGAAAGGAGAGGAAAGAGGGTCAACATCCTCCTGCAAGGTTGAGACAGATACATTGTGAGAGGCATCCAAGTGCTCTCCTTGTCAGGAGGTGACAGAATATCAGTGGAAGCTCCAGAAATAAAGAGCGCTACAGATCCCTACATAACAGTTTGGTAGCCACTGGATCCTTGCAGAAAAGGACTGTATTTCCCAGTGAACTCTGCCTGTTTTTCTTCTCCCTGGTCCAGGATGTTCAGGATGTGGCCTCTGGTGCATTGGTCCTCGGAGGCTGCTACCCTCGTCTTTGGTTGTGTATTATGGATATAGGCCAGGAGTGCAGAGCTTCCCCCATTTTCCCAGGTTTTGTTGCTCTCTGTCAAGAGTTTGAAGAGTAGCAGCTATGCTATGATACCAACGTTCCCCTACAAACTACAGAAGAAGCAGCACCCAGGAGTATGGGGCTGGTGTGGAAGGATGTTCTTTCCACTCAAACACAGAAGTCATAAAAGATCCTGCGCTTTCTCTCCTACCATCCCTATTCCCATACTCCCACCCTGCTTCCCTGGCCCTCCCCAGCACAGAGATTTGGATAAGTCCATCTTCCTATAGGTCACCAGATATCTGTGCTCCGAGGAGCCCTTTCTGCACGGGGCACTTCATGTGTTCTTCGGCTGCGGGCTTTCCGCTTTTCCTCCAGATGTTTCCACTTCTGACTTTTGGATTTGATGTTAAGTAAAGGGGACAACGGAGGGGGCTTTTTCTTGGGCTGGTGGCTCTTGCGTCTCCATAGTTGCTCGCACACCTGGTCCACGGTGCTGAGATTGGGATGATCCACCAATTGTAAAAAATCTCGATACCAAAGTTTGCGATGGAAAGGTTGTGTGGATTCTTCTTCCCAAGAGAGGGAGAGAGAGTCAGCCTGCTGTGCATAGATCACTTCAAGCTGGAGGTGCAGCAGACCCTGGGTGAAGCCATGCTCCGTTGCATGGCAATAATAGAAGCCAGCATCCTTGCGCTGTACATTGCGCAAGAGGATTCCCCGCTCCATCCTGACGACCCGATCATCCAGCAATACCTGGAGGTTAATGAAACACAGACAAATGAAACTGGAATTAACGATCCAAAAGTCAGAGGAATTTTATGTTTCACTATGGAATTGTCTTATTATTGAAATCTGTACGAAAGATCCTTTAGGACAGTGGTTCTCAACCTTTTCAATGCCGCAACCCCAACCGGTCGTAAGTCGAGGACTAAACCGGTCGTAAGTCGAGGACTACCCAACCGGTCGTAAGTTGAGGACTTTCCCTGCCTGGGAGCACCGCACATGCGTGGTTCCGCCCCCTGCGCCGGCCGAGGCATAGCTGGCAAGCGGCAGAGACGGAGCAGGCTGACCACCAGCTGGCCCAGCCCAAGGGAGGTAAGGCACCCGCCGGAAAAGGGGAAAAAAATGTCGGACAAAAAAAATGGCGGACAGCCTTGCTTGGCGACCCCTGTGAAATGGTCGATCGACCCCAAATGGGGTCCCAACCCACAGGTTGAGAACCACTGCTTTAGGACATTGGTGTGACTGGAGTGCCTGTCAGAGAGACATGTGGGAAAGCATCTTCTCTAATGTTGTTCCAAAATCATGGAAAGAATTCCTTCCAATAATGCAACTGCCTCCACTTTGTTTACTTCTAGAAAAGATGACGAAATGCCTTTTAATTTTTGGTGTTCCATGTTTCAATGTTTTAATCAATGATTTCAGGAGACTTTATTATTGTATTGTTTAATTTTAGATTTGTTCTGCCTTGGTTTTTTTTTAAGCAAAACAGTACATGTATTTAGAAGGGTGAAGCCATATCAACAATTTAATCCCAATTTGTTAGCCTTGTTTCACATTTATTCAGATAAAAGTGAGATCATCACTAGCATTCAGATGCAATTCAGGGTGTACACTCTCACCTTTAAAGCTCTATGGCAGTGGTTCTCAACCTTTTTAATGCCGCGACCCCAACTGGTCGTAAGTCGAGGACTAAACCGGTCGTAAGTTGAGGACTACCCAACTGGTCGTAAGTCGAGGACTTTCCCTGCCCGGGAGCGCTGCGCATGCGTGGTTCCGCCCCCTGCGCCGGCCGAGGCGTAGCTGGCAAGCGGCAGAGACGGAGCAGGCCGACCACCAGCTGGCCCAGCCCAAGGGAGGTAAGGCACCCG